AACATGTCCATTCGAACAGAACTATGATAGTCTGCCAAGCGGAAGTCAGTAAAATTATTATGAATATTATGATCACCATGAATAAAGACACCTAGACATCGGAAAGTATCAGCTAGAATATCTCGATTTTAAACTTCTGTAACAGATTTGTAAACAGTAAATTGTCATGAAGTATGCTCGCCTTTTATTCTACAGTAACAAAAAGATAGATACAGAATGACCTAAAATTAGTTGAGGGCAGGTCAAAATTAAGACCTGGACCCAAGTGACCTGAAATCTTAAAAATTAGAAACAGCCGCAAAATGTCTAGAGTCTGTTATTTCAACAAACAAGCTACATAACCGATTTTAAAAGTGGAAGGGAGCAGTAAAGAGTCCAATATTTACATTTTTTGGAAAAGAAGTACCTTTTTCATGTGTTTTATCCTCTTGTTTTAAAAGAGCCATGCATGTAATAGTCACAGCTGCAGCCACATAAAACCAGGCGGGCATGGCGTTCACTGGCAGGGTTTCCAGCTCCTCACACAACTGCCATAGTCAGCCCGCTGGTGGCTCCACTGGCAGCCACTTAGAAGAGAATCCAGTAATAAACATAAACTGACAATTCCAATCAGATGCAGGCAGAGAAAATGCTCCCTGGCCTCGCCACATTCACGCAGGAATGAGAACCTGGCCCAGGCTGCGGGGCCTGGGGCTGATTCTGCAATAATGATCCGTCAGAAGCAACTCAGACCCAGGGCCAGACTGCTAGCAACACTGTACAGCACAACCAGTGGAGCTGCCCCAGGAACATGTCCTTCAGTTGCCATGCCTTGTCAATAGAACCCTAAGAATACGCCTGAGAGGTTGATTTATTTTCAAAGGAGAATTTCCAGCATTCCAAGGATGCCCAAAATGCCTGTGCAGGAAAACACAGCACACCTAGCTGCCGTTATGAGATGCCTCACAGACTCCTCATCTCTGCGCATCTGTGTGCCCTGTGCTGGCCCCGACCTCCCTCCCCCAACACACACATCCACACGCCTGTGGACCCTTCAGACCTCCGCTTGAGTAGCATCTCCGGAAGCAGCATCCCTCGCTGGCCAGCGGGTTAGGCGTCCTGTCCTCCAGGTGCCTCCCCAGAAGCACACCTGACGTCTCTACCAGAACGCTGGCACCTACTCAAGTGTTAGCATCTTCTAAAATCCGTATCTGTCTCCCCCGTTAGACCAGGAGCCACTTCAGGTCAGAGACAGTCTTAGCCCTTTTCACATCTTTAGATACTTACATGTCGGCTTCACCAGATGCTTGATAAATGCTGAAGAAAGAAATGAAGGAGGCTCAGAATTGGGCCAGGGATATGGAAGACACCAGCGACAGAGAAGCATGGCTTAAAAATGGTCAAAGTGGGTCACTCAGAAATGGGTTCAAGAAACACTCTGTTTCATCTTCTTTACAGCCTACCTCCTTCTGCGCTTCCCACCCCTTCCACACGGTGACTTCAGAGCACTTCTCAGAGCTACAGCCACTGCATAAGCATGGCTGGGGTCT